CTTGTCCAAATAGTCTATAACAAAACTAGATAGAAAGATCATGTCATTTACTATGTATTCATGATTCTAAATTATATTTTATCGTTTTTGTAAGAAAATAAGTTGTCATCATCCGAACACACTTCTCTCTTTTTCTTTCAGCCTATTATCTTTTCTTACTCAATGTTAAAGTTCAAGATTTACTCGCTTTTCCAAAGCCGGCCTATTTGCTCATTTTTTCATTGTCCTTCGGTATGGGCTATAAAATTGTTCCAATATCATCCAATTAGCATTTCGATTGCAAGAAGGGAAACCATCCCTTCATATCTTAGGATTTTGCTTCATACCATTCAAACTTTTTTGTACACAATCTCTTTTTGATTTCATCATAGTTGTTTGTGGTACTCTAAAATTCTTTTGGAAGCTTTAATTAATAATTTCTTATCATTCAACAAGCCTTGATAAAAACCTTTATCATGTGATTCTTTGAGATTTTATGGTATTACCATGTTTTTTGAATAATACTAATACATCATTATACAAATGACCAAAGAAAAGACTATTAGAGACCGACCGTATTCAAGAAAAGGATTTTTTTAGAGTAAAAAAAGATGTATTTAATTATAAGAGGCAATCAAAGAAATCAAAAAGCAAGAGAAAATGCCCGCACATAAAAATAATTTGCCTAAACCTTTATTATATCTTTATTATTTTGGATAAGAAGAATTACAATTTCATGTTTAATACCTTTTTACATCGTCGAATTCACGAGTTTTAACAATTCATCACTATCCATCTTAATTTGAATAAGAGCTCCACCCGAGAATGCCTTCATAACTAAGGGCCTATTTATTATGATCGAAGGATCATGCATACTATGGAGGTGTGAAATAAAATAAAAAAATTTCTCCATCCAATGCTCATAAGATCAACTTGTTAAATCAACTAATCATACATATATGAATTAAAACGTAAGTAAAGGATTACCTCTTGTAATACGTAATTTAACCTTTACAAAAAGAAGTCATCCAAATGTTCGACTTCTATCGATAATCCATGCAATCCAAGCACAAACAAAAGAAGTACTCAAAATTAGTAGAGTAAGCTTCACCTTTTTTCGACTTGTTTAGTGTTTCCTATAGAAATCTAATCGGGGTAATTTTGCGATAACCTAGATAGAAAGAGAAAAAATGTGACATGCTAGGGTTACGAAAAAAATAAAATTTCTCCTTCTTTTATTTTTTAGCCGTATACCCTTTTTTTTTTTTATGTTGCATTTTTTCTCCCCTCTAAGACTTGTCTTTGTCATACCTCTCTCCCATATATAAAGGGGAGAGGCTTCCTTATCCTCCAAGGACAAGGAGGGGCGGCAACTAGTCATAATTGAATCCTTGGTTGTTGCTTCCTAATCCTTCAAGGATTAGATTTTACATGTAGGCTTTTTTATCTTTATCTTTAAAACATTTATCATTATCTAATAAAGTTCATGTTTATCCTTCAACCAAAATATCTTTCAAGATTTTAATTAAATCTATTGATCCAAAACTATTTTAGTCCAATTAATTAATTTGGACTATCTAAATAAATTAATTTAAATAATTTTAGGTGGCCCACATTAGGAAATCATTTTTCAAATTATCCTTAAAGCTAAATTAGGAAACCAATTTCTATTTTAGGTTATTCATTCCAAATTTGGAACTAACTTCCAAATTAGGAAACCGATTTCTAAAATAAAAAACTTTCATTTTAGGAAACATCTATTTTATGAAACTTTTCATTTTGGAAAACCTTTTCTAAAATAGGAAACTTTCAAAATTGAAAACTTTTTCCAATATCGCTGATTTTCATTAATCATATGCATGTTTAAAATTATGCATATGACTCAATAGGCTCTTAGATATATTGGCAATGTATCAAAAACAAAATACACTCTTTTATCTCTTGATAAATAAATCAAAATTGGCCTCTAGTAAGGAATCACAAATACCCAATTCTCTAAAAGGATTAATTAATCTACAATTATCTTTCATAAGTATGGTTATCAAATAATTCAATCCTCATGTCAACTTATCACAAGTATGATCTCGAACTTGGTTATTAGTCTTGTTCAATCACGATCACACAAGTTTTCTTCGATTTTCAAATGTCTTAGCTCTAATGAGATGATCGAACAAGACTAGTATGAGATGGTCGTGATAACTTCAAGTCTAAGGACTAGTTATACCCATCTCGTATGAGATTTTCATAAACTATACCAAATGAGGTCTCATGATGAGTAAAGTCTAGTGATATGTTCTTTAACATTAATTACCGAAGTGCTTGCTTTGACATCATCATGTTAATAGGTGTGAGATCTCCTATTGTTATCATGTAGCATGAGCATAACACTCATAAGTTTATCCGCATATAGTCATTATCCATGCTTGACCATGCTACGACTTGGGATATTTAACAATATCATTTATGTGAATTAGTATTTGTCTCACATCTTTCGATCAATCACTAATTTAAATGCATATCATATGGACTTATATCTAATTTTGTTCAATGAATAAATGTAAATGATAAGAATTAATATAAAGGCTTCTTTTATTATAAATAATATAATAAGTCAAACTTATCCAAATAAGGTTGGATCTTGGACACATTCACTAACATAAATGTCCCAAGTCATAGAATTATCGTGATTGGATATTGATAATATACGATAAGACTTGTGAGTGCTATGTTCTTTCTATAAAATAGTAGTATGAGATTTTACACCTACTTGCATGGTGATGTCAAAGCAAGCACCCGTGTGAATAATATTAGAGATCATATCACTCGGACGTGATTCGTCACGAGAGCTCATTTGGTTTAATCTATGAAAATCTCATACGAAATAGGTGCAAGTAATCCATTGACTTGAAGTCATCTAGTTTATCTAATTAGATGATTAATATACTTTAACATTCATTTTAATAAGCTTAGTAAAGAGTCGCATATGGATGATTCATTGGATGTAATAAAAATCTAATAGAGATAAGTAGATGATCGAGATAGGACATGAAATTCCTTATATGCTAAATATAAGTCAAGTCCATTGACTTGAAGTCATCAAGATTATCTTATTAGATGATTAATGTACTTTGACATTCGTTTCAATAAGCTTAGTAAAGAGCTACATGTGGACGATTCATTGGATGCAATAAAAATCTAATGGAGATAAGTGGATGACCGAGATAGGACATAAAATTCCTTATATGCTAAATATAAGTCAAGTTCATTGACTTGAAGTCATCAAGGTTATCTCATTAGATGATTAATGTACTTTGACATTCGTTTCAATAAGCTTAGTAAAGAGCTACATGTGGATGATTCATTGGATGCAATAAAAATCTAATAGAGATAAGTGGATGATCGAGATAGGACATAAAATTCCTTATATGCTAAATATAAGTCAAGTCCATTGACTTGAAGTCATCAAGGTTATCTCATTAGATGATTAATGTACTTTGACATTCGTTTTAATAAGCTTAATAAAGAGTCGCATGTGGGCGATTCATTGGATACAATAAAAATCTAATGGAGATAAGTAGATGATCGAGATAGGACATGAAATTCCTTATTTGCTAAATAAGTTGTCACATTGCACTTTAGTGAATGTTTGCTCAAAGAATATATGGTCATAATGAAAGTATATTAATTGAGCATACTTGGTTTATTCGAGAGCTAAGACATTTTGAGATCGAAGAAAACTTGTGTGATTATAATTGAACAAACTATAAATCAAATTCGAAATCACACTAGGATAAATTGACATGGATTGTATATAAACCACTTGTGAAAGGTAATTACGAATTAATTAATTTTTCTAAATAATTAGGTAGTCATGATACCTTACTAGAGATCAATTTTGATTTATGTATCAAGAGATAAAAGAGATATTTTTTTTATCTTCTTGATACATTGTCAACATATTTAGAAGCCTATTGAGTTATATGCATAATTTTAAACATTTACACGATACAAGAGAAGGGTTTTGGAAAAAATTTTCTAAAATGAAAATCAATTTCCTAATTTGGAAGTCGATTACCCAAAATAAAAATCAGCTTCATAATTTAAGTTTAAGGATAATTTGAAAAATTGTTTCGTAATGTGAACTTCCCTAAAAATATCCAACCCAATTTATTTGAATTATCCAAATTAATTGGTAGTTGATTGGGTTATAAAAGTTTGAGCCAATAAGTTTAATTTAAAACCCCGTAAGATATTTTTAGTGCATGGATAATCTTAAACACTAAAGGATAAAGCTTAGGGTTTATAAGGATAATGTTAAATTATGCCTACATAAGTTGCATCTCCTTGATCTACAAAGAGAGTTACCACCACTTAAGCAAGGAAGAGAGATGACATAACATAGAAAAAATAACAAGAAAAAGGTTTTACACATCTCTCTTTTAAAGGGCAAAAGTTACCACCACATCTCTCTTTTGAAAAATATAATGAGCAAAAACCCAAAAAGATTTTTAGAGAGAAAATTTATTACACATAATAGTTGAAACCGACACAACCGTTACTTTTTATATAATTGTTTGAATTGCGTGGATCATCAGTAAAAAATAGATACTTGAACAATTATTTTACATAAAGTTTGAATTTCGTACTACAAAAGGTAAATATTTCTCCTCTTATTATATTTATATGATTAGTTGATTCAATATTTGATTTTAAAAACTTTAGATGAAAGAAATAAAATTTTTATTTATTCTTCGTCTTCATAGAATACATAATTCATGATAAAAATATAATTTACAAACAAACACGTGTTCGTCGATCCTTGAAAAGACCTGCGTTTCCAATATGATGTAATGCTCACGCAAGTTTCCTAACTCTTCCTTTAGTTGAGACTGTTTCCTTGAAAAGACGTGTTTTTCCTTAATATTAATGCAAGATTCTACCTCACTAAGGTTGACTTAAACCAAGTTTAAGAAGGATGCCAAATCACCATATTATTGTTTTTACATTACCAGTAAGGTATCTCAACTACCACTGCAAGATGGATGAATCCTAAGGTTCTTTACTTTGCACAATATCTCATACTGAAATTTGATGGAAACAATAAAAAAAAAAAGTAAAGAGAATTTATTCCCACAACAGTTGGGAAAAAGGTTTTTGAGTAACCTTTACACAAAGAGCTGAAACCCACAGGAACAAGTAGTCGTCAGTTTGAGCTGGCAAAACATCTGAGGTATCTAAAATGCATAGAACATTAAGAACTTCACATATTCCCTCTTCAAATGCAGCAGTGCAAAGCTTATATGCTAACTAATGAAGCTCATGCAAAGAAAACCTTCTAATAAGATGAAACTTCACGAACAGCAGCTTTCTGCTGGACTGAATGTATGTTTCCTTTTACTGCCCACTCTAAAATTTCATACCAAGAAGCTTCTGCCATTTTTCAATTCTTACTTCCAACATTTTAAGCTCATAAAATTGTAACCTCTAAGCTCCCGAAGGTCCAAAACCACGAATATGTAGACTTTTTAGGCAATTTCAAACCTCTTTATTTCAATAAATTTCACACTTAGCGTCTTCTGTCTTCCAATTCTTAATCATATTTCTAATTCTCTCCCATTCCATCTCTTCCACATTTTCCTCCCATACAATTGGTGTTATCCACTTATTGAGCATCTGAATACCCCACTTTACTTCCCTTTCACCATCCCTTTTTGTTGTGATTTAGGAGCAGAACCATCTTTGGTCTTTTGTGCTTATTAAGTCTCTGTTATTTTCATGTCTTAAGAAAAATTCTAAGTTTAAAAACCCATCCCCCTCAAATGGTAGATGCAGAGGCTTTACAAGTCTCTTCATGTTTCTACAATGTTTTACTCCAATTCTCGAGGGAATGATAAATTGAAAGCATAAAATTACAAGGAAATTTAAAATTGGTTGCAACAACAAATCAAATTCCAAATAGTGTACTTTCTGAGGTGAAGTATCGAACTTCAACATATCACTAAAACATCAAAAGGTTCAATGAGCATTGCACAACAAAAACTTCAAGTAAAAGCCGAGTCAAGAAATAAAACAACACACCTAGTGCAATTGACACTGGAAGAGCTGGCAAAGCTTTCTGATAAAACGCCAATAGCATCAGAGTAACTCCCAGACCGGCTATAATAGCAAGGTAACATGCATACACAGTCATAAAGTCATACATAGCTGCTCTTCCAACTAAGACGCTGTAAAAGATAAAGTCTCCCAGGCCCAGCTTGATGGCACCAGTTGACCCCAACCCAATACCTTCAAGCAGCAAACTATCACTAGATGCAGAAGTTTCCTGTCCACGCAATTGGACACTAGTCCTCCGATCAATTAACGGTGCAGAAAGCTCAGCATCCCTTTCCAAAACTTGCTCTTGTTCAGCTCTAACCAATATTCTGTCATTATGACCACTACCAATTGAATTAACTGTGCCATGTGTCAAGTTTGAATTGACAACAGAATCAGAATCCAAATTGAGATTAGAATTAATCCCAGAATTCAAATTCTCATCAGAGCGATTTCCAATACTGCTCCTTTCTCTCCATACACTCCTTCGAACCACACCATTCCTTGACCCAGAACCATGAGTCACAGGGCGAGCTTCATAAACTAATGCAGGGATATCTTCATCCCTAGAGATTGCAAGCTCTACCAAGATTCTTAATGGACCCACAGGCAATAAAACAGCAGCAAGATCATACAATGCCATGGCAACCAATAGTACCCAAGTAGTCCATTCGGGCAAAAGAGTAAACCAATAAGCAACTAATACGCCAATAACAACCAAATACCCTTGTGTCACAAATATAGCCATTTTTGACATGAACACAGCCAATACACCCACAAAAGCAAAGTTGAACAAAATAACACAAAAAGTGATAGAATCAATGGGAACATTAAAATCACTAATAAAAAACAAAGCAATCTCACCACCCATGAATCCCAAAACTAAAAAGGAAGAGAAACCCATGTAGAGTCTCAAGAAGCGAGTGCATCTGAGGTAAAAGAGAAGCACCAAAACAAAAGTAACAAGAGTGATAACAGCCACAAATACAAGAGAGTTCAAAACGGCACCTTTGAATTTGTCCCAAAAGGAGTCAGAGGTCGTCTCATTGTAAGCTATGGTAGCCATGGTGTTAATTGATGATGAACCTGAGGAGGAGGATTCTGTATTGAGAATTGAAACCAGAATCACCACCATGAACATGCAGATTGAGACTGGTGTTATGATTCTGATTATTTCTTCACCCAAGGAATGAATAACGCTTTTGGGTGTTTGGGTTTGGGCCATTGAATTTGAGACTGTTTCCTTTTTAATCAAAAAGTTTGGATTTTGAGGTTTTTGATTTGGGATTTTGAAATTTTGAAGGGTAGAGTTAGAATTAGGGTGGAATAAGAATTTTATTTTATTTTATCATTAGCAAGGAAGGCCTTTCTGGTTCTTAGGGTGGAGGCACATGATAGTGATCATGGAGGAGAGCTATCAGCCGTTCATTTTTGTTGATGAACCTGTTAAGTCACGTCATCCGTTCTTATCTGTGCCTGTACATGACCGTTTGCACATCGATGGCCACAAATTAAACACAATCTTCATTTTATGATCGTATCGACTGTTTACAACTACTACGTTGAATTATGTTTATTGACCCTCTCATTCTCATGAATTAATCTCTTACCGCCTTCGAAGTTCAAAACTTTGAGCTTGGCCTGACGAAAACTTACAATTTGATTAGGGAAAATCAGTTAATTTTAAGTGTCTTGAGCCTAAAAAATAATACAATCTTTTCTTGTCCATTACCAATTCTGAGCTCATTATCAACCAAATCATGCATCTTCATCATTTCATACGGTGTTTTCCACAAAATTGCGGTGAATACACAAAAGTCAAAATAAGAATGGCTTGAGCCTGCACCATGGAAGAAATTTTTGAAAAAATATCTGCAACATGTTCAAGTATCAAACATGCGCTGACCATCACTCTGGTAGATTTAGGGGGAAAGTAAACAAGACCCCAAAAAACTATAGCTTTTCTTTCTCGGGGGGAATTTATATGAAAGAATTAACAGTATTATTTTATTCATTGTTGTCCAAAGATGTTGGAAACCTAAAGGTCTTGCATTCGGATCTCATCAATTTTTGTATGAAGACATTAACAATGCTATTTTATGCAATAACTTGGATGCACTGTTATCATCACTATCATCCTTAGAGAGAGGAGAAGCCCATTCCTGAAGATTATGTAAGCTGCCTGTGAAGTCTGTAAAGAGTCCATCAACTCCTATCTTGTTTAACCAATAATCATATTCCTCATATGGGTCTTGGTGGAAGTTGAAGTGTAAGAATTTGTTCTCATTCCGGTAAGTGTAAGGGTGCACCTGAGTTCAAATCAAGGTTACAAGTCAGCTCTAAAGAAACCGGTGAATGATTATGATTTTAACTGAATGAAAGAAAAAAGCAGTTCAGTATCCTCGTCCAAGAAACTGTGAAACTGAAATGAAACAATGCACATCATTTTCCTCTTATGAATGAGGAAGCTTGACCATGCATGCAAGGTATTGATGAAATCATGACGCTTGTAAAGTATAACATATATAAAATGACAGCCAAAAAAAAATTGTATCAATTATTATTATTATTATTTTTAATAATCACACAAATATACCAAAGCTTATGGGAGTTCTACATGAAAAACTATTAATTTCTTCAGAGACTTAAAAGCCTCTCCCTTTCACTGCCAACCTGGAACATGTTCTGTCGCAGCATTTGTCATTGGCCGTGTGTTTATGTTGTGTTCTCATATTATATGTCTTCATTTGAATAAACTTTACAAACTGGGTAGAAATTGCACCTGGCCTCAATGCAAGGCATGTTGTTTTTCACTTTAAAAACTATCACCATATGGCCTACTTAATTTATGGAAGAAAAAAATTCCTTGTAATTATCATTGAACCAGCATTTTTATATTACCATATCCATGCCAAATGAAGAGAAGAACAGAGGCGAAGTTTACCTGTAGATCATGTGAATGTGCTCTGGCAACAAGATCTGTAGGCATCTGCAAATAATTTTTCCCTACAGGAACTATTGTATCCTTCCAAGGTCCAATACCCACCACGTAGTCCTTAATGTAGTCTAGATAAGCATCAGAAGTGATTTCCCAATAAGACTGCAGATTGTCAATAGCATCACTTTGGATTAGAACTTGAAAACCCGAAAGGTTTGAAATGAAAATTGAAATCATATTTGCATTAATCAGACAATTGAGTCCATTTCATATAACAGGTCCAATAGTTCATGACAACAAAGGTCCAGTCTAGTACATCCTTACTGTAAAGGTTAATGTATAATTAAAAGAATTTGTAGAGCACTTCATGGAAACAATTTACAATCACCTTTCATATAAATTACGGTGTTTGTTGACATTCTTATGAATGAACCCCATGCGTGGTGTAATTTATATGATTCCACCTTAATGTCAATCTTTTGAAAATCAAAATAAAAAACCAATAGTAGTAGTAGTTTTTCATAAAACAGATGTTCAATTTAAAACAATAAAAAAAATTATACCATATGCAAAGCGGTAACTAAATTAACTATGCTTCAGAGGGGAGTTTGAACTAGAGGAAACACAAACCTGATTAGTGTCTTGAGTTGGCATGGTAATATCATCAATCAGGAATATTTTGGGTGAGTCTGTCTGATTTGATATATATACAAGTGAAGTTGGAGCGAAAGACTGGATAAACACTGGCTGTTTCAGCCAATCTTCAGACATATATGAACCCTTGTATCCATACTTCTTAAGTATCTCCATAAACTTGTCCTCAAATCGCTTACCGCCAGGCCATTTCACCTGTTGTACGGTTCAATGATTAGACAATGTGCATTGATATTCTCTGATATATATATATATATATATATATATATATATATATTGGAACATATGATATTATAAAATATCAATGATCAACACAGCACACATCCCGGTAAAATATTTCTCACATACAAACAGCTGATGTTTCCACAAGGCTTTCTTTGTTAATCCATGCATCAGAAATGATGTTGGCACAAACAACTGGATGGAAGGTGAGTGACACCGTAGGAATAGGAAAATAGCATGATTCTAATTAATCTTAAATGAAATCATATGATTATCCATTAGGCTGATACAGAGAGAAATTTCTTACATGCTGGTTGATAAAAATTGGATTCTTAATCTCCGGATATATTCCAACAACTCTTGATGCATCCAGTGCAATTGATATGAATTCTTCGAAAGTGATAATAGGAAATTTTCCTGAGGAACATACGGCAAGAGAATGTAGTGAGTTATCTATTGTTAGTTTTTCTCCCAAGAGTAATATATTTCTATTATTTTAATAGACAGAGCACACCAATTGTACTTAAAATACATTAAAAATATATCCTGTTACATGTTGCAGGTTACTTCCAATAATATAAGCGTTGAATGGTATGATATGTATTCATTACAGGTTTGGGTCCTCATCCCCTTAGGAACCAGGACATGGTTTAAGAAATGTAATGAACTAACCATTATATTGTTGATCCCGGAAACTAAACCTCTGCTTCAAGCGTAATTTCTTCAGTTCTTTCAAAGTGAAATCAACTGCAATTAATTGAAATAACTTCAGTTGCTTCCCCAATTAAATCCTATATGACAACAAGCTGGTAGATAATTCCACAAGACAAGGAATAAAAGATGACATTCGCAAACTTGCCAATTTAATATCTGGTGGGTGCTGATGCAAAACCTGACACAGTAACAAAATATAAGCATGCATAAGGCAGAATGGATAGAGTACCAGTGAAGAAGCCAGTGGCGTTGACCCCTTGAACCTCATAGGTTCTTTTACGATTTGCAAACTCCTTATGATCTGCAACGTCAGTTGTGTCATCAAGGGTAACATCATGGAAGCATATAAGAACCCCATCTTTGGAGGACAGGATATCAGTTTCTATGAAGTCAGCTCCCTCTTCAATGGCTCTCTGTAGAACCAAGTCATAATAAGGAACATATGCTGGGAAAAGAATGCTCGTCAAACAAAAACAAGCAAACGTTTTGGTAAATGAGTACATGAAAGCAAATAATTCAACTAATATGATAGTGGATAAACACCCTTTTTTTGTGGCTGAATGAGGTATGCCAAATCAATTCACATAACTGAATTTTTGTTAACTTTGAGACAATAAATTTATTCCCAACTCTCAAAGTTCATTTGAAGTAGATTAACTTGCATGAACATACACATACATACCATGTATGCAGCAGAAGTTTCTTCAGGAATCTCTCCATTTGATCCTCGATGAGCAATATTAAATGGTCGAGAAGTCTGTAGAGGCAGTCTATTACTATGGCTTACTTTACTAGGGAGAGGATAGATTGGCCTTGCAGCACATGCAACTAGGAGTGATAGAAATAAGATTGGAGCAAAGCCAAATCCTGAGCCTGCCATTTCATTTGCTACAGAATAAATAATTTATCAATTATAACCATGTAAATAAATAATCACATACATACAGCATAAATATACTTTCAGTTTCTGGTTCACATTAATCATGAACAATTATCTGTATCGATCGATTGATGTCAATGTAAAGAGTAAAATGAATTAGTACTTCTATAACCAAGATCAAGATCATCATTCATCATATGCTGCTTAATTTAAGAAACCAACCAATATATGGGCAAGAAAACAGAAAATGCACAATCAAGATCATAGCGCAGAAAGAAAAAAAAATGAAAACCCAGAAATGAATTGGAGATAAAGTTATGAAACTTACAAGTTGAAGGCATGTTTTCGGCTTCAGCTTCTTTCCAGTCCACTACTCTCTCCCTATTTCTTTGTTAATAAAGATACCTTGTTTACACTACCTTTTCTTTCTCTCTTTGCCCTGTTAGTTAGCGTCATGCCATGGGTCCTCCCATCTCTGCCAGTCAAAGTGATTGCGATTGTTAGAATACAGTAATGCGTATACAAGGGTGAGATTGCCAGTTCAATTTAGTCTTAGCCGTGGATCTTTATTGGAACCAAGAATATTCCTTGGAACGTATAAGTCCAATTAGCTTTGGTGGCAAGACATGAATTCTATCTATTAAGGTAAATGGAGATAAAGTTGTACGTTTGACTTTCAAAGTCCTCTTTTAAAAAGGTTTTTTTTTTTTTTTCCACAAAAGTTTAGCTAATGAGGGTGCACATCGTACTCACCATCAATAATTACGCTTTTAAGCCTAAAATGTGTATTTAATATTCTATGATGAGAAATTTTATGATACTCAAACACTAACTATTGTATATATATATAATAATTATTTTATAAATTTATTTTTCAGAAAGGAGATAGACACATAAAAAATAAAAAAAATTATATTGACTTAATTTTTTCTTTATTATTTCTCTCTTTTTTTCTTTTTTTCTTTCTATAGAATAATTTATACTAATTATTATTTGAATATTATAAAATTTCTCACCCATGACAACATTTTGAAAAGCTTGAGACTTGTGAGTGAATAAATAATTATTGAAATAAAATAGTTTAATAATTTGATTATTAAATGGGAAAATTAGATAGTGTTTCATAAAAATGAAAATTAAGTGTTGAATTTTAAGTACTGAATAATTAAGTGTTGAATATATTGCTAACAAGCTCGTTTGGTATTTACTAAAAATTAAGTATCGAATATAATAAGGTTGTTTGATAAATATTGTTTTCGAACATATTAATGCTATATACATAACAATTTTAACATTGCAATTATAGCATAATATTTTTAACATAAATAAAAATATATACATAGATATGTTTGTGTATATAAATAAATAAATAAGAATATTTTTTTAAAAAAAACCTCATCTTAACTTGTTAAATTTCATACTCCAACTTCTGCTTCTCGTCATTAGATTTGAAAATTGTAAACTTGTCTTTTCTTGTATCCAATTCATTAAGAAATCTATCTTCTTCTTTGTCAATTCTTAAACCCAATTGTTGTGGCCTACATGGAAACTTCTCAAATAGCATACCATGGCAAGTCAAACTTGTAAGTGCTAAATTTGTGGAACGAGCATATACCTTACTAGCTTTTTCCCATCATCCAATGTGAGTAGTGTTCTTTCATCTTTGGCTCTATTTGGGTTTTCCATCAATTGATGGGAGAGATTCTTTCTTCAATTTACGAGTTGAAATTTTTTTCTCTATTTAGTTTTTTCTCAATTTGTGTGAAATGGATTCTTGCTTTTATGGCTTAGAATCATTTTTTTTTTTACTTTGATATGAAATGAGTTTCAAGAATTTATTGCCTTTGTTTTAACAATGAAGATAGTAGATATTGTTTTTTAGTTGGTTTATATATCTAAAGTTATAAGAATATATAAGGGCAATATAATTATATTTGAAAAGGTTTAAAAATCTTTCAACCGAGCTTATTAATTAAAAAGTAATAAGTTAAAAACTTTAACTTATCCGATTAAGTAGATTTTGACTAAACTTAAATTTTTAATTAAAGTTTACTTAGGTTATTAAACAAACTTTTTATATTAAGTACTATAACTTAATTTATTAAGCTATTTAAATAGATTATCAAACACTCTCGTATCGAAAACATATTATAGTTTTAGCACACATACACTTTTACGAGTTTTTTTAATATGATATTTTTTAAACTTATTTCTTAAAAATAAATATTTTTAAACTTATTTATTAAAACAATGGAATTGTTAGTACTTCACCATATTGCACCAACTATTTCAAATAAACATATCTAGTTCCACAAGTATATTAACCAAAACTTAATAAAACATTAAAAAAAAATTCACTTTAACGAGCTTGATTTCTTGTATATAAGTCAAAGTAAGAATTGAATCAAAAGAAATTAAATAATAGATCAGTGTTCTAAGAAAATCTTAGTGAATCAAAACGGTTTAATCCACATATTGATTAAGGTTTTAAAATATACAAACCTAATAAACTATAAGGTTGTTCGGTTAAAAAAAAAAGTAAGGAAACTAATATATTCTATTAAGAAAAAGGGTAAAGAAAGCTATAACAAAAGTTTAAAGAAAACATAAGGAGAGTAGTGTAAAACTAGAAAGAAAGCATAAAAATAATGATAAAACATATATGATGGTAAAAACTTGAAAGAAAAAAATTATTGAAAAGAATATGTGTATTATAGCTTGCAAAAAATTACAATACGAGAATCTTTTTTATTTATAGAGACTATTAAAAAATTACAATAAAAGTATCTCTTTAATTATAGATGTCAATGGGCCCGTAAAGTGGGAGGAGTCGATATTAGCTATCGAGGAGAACTAGAAAACCTAAAAACAAAACTAGTCCGCATAGATATTTGAGTAAGGAGTCGATTACATATAGAAAAAATTAATACCAACATCATCACGTCCTACCTAAAATAGACTATATTATGTTCATGTGAAAATAAAAGTTTGATTTTGATATGTTATATTTCTATGCCTACTTGATTGAATTTTTTTTATTGGGATGAAATAGTCAAATAGTTTAGGGTTTAAGCTAGTCAAAGGCCTATATCCTTACTCTAAGGAGAAATGTGGATAGAAATTAGAATTTTACTTAATCCCAAACGACTTTAAACTAGTATTGATAAATAGGTGAGTCTCTAAGGATTAAGAATTTATATTGATATGAATAAGAAGTCATCAAAGTCTTCACTTACACAAGCAAAAAGCCATTAACGACTTCAAATTATGAATTTAGTAAGCCCCCAATGGCTTTGATTCATAAAGCAATAAGTCATTCAAAAAAAGTTTGGAAGCTACTAGCGACTTCATCCTCGTAAGTGGAAAGCCATCATCGTCTTTGTTTTAATGAACAACAAAAGTGGTAAATAAGTTTGAAAGTCACCGGTGGCTTCATCCATATAGGTGAGAAGCTACCAAGAGCTTCATTTTTTATGAATAGGAAGCAACTAAATAGTTTTGAAAGCTACTAAAGGTTTCGAATCCCAAAGTAAGAAAACCATTGATGACTTTGTTCATATAAATGAGAAGCCACCGACGAATTTAATTCATAAAAAAAGAGAATCCACTAATGATTACAAATTATATAATTTAGAAAGCCATTGACAACTTTGTCCATACAAGTGGGAAGCCACTAATGGTTTCATCCATAAAATTTAAGAAGTCACAAACGATTTTAAATCACATCATTTGGTAAGCCACCGACGACTTCATCAATATAAATGGGAAGTTATTGACGAATTCATCCATAAAATTTAAGAAGTCCTTAACAATCGTAAACCACATCATTTACGAAGCCACCGATGGCTTCGTTCACATAAGCAAAAAGCCATCGATGACTTTATCCATAAAAATTAAGAATTACCGAGTGACTTCAAATCACATCATTTAGGAAGTCATCGATGACTTTGTCTACATAAATAAAAATTCATTGACGACTTCAAATCACATCATTTTAAAAGCAATCGATGACTTCATCTATATAGGTGGGTAGCCACTAACGGCTTCATTTCAATCAAATAGAAAATAGCTAAATAGGTTTAGAAGACACTAGCACCTTCATCCACATTTGTAGGAATTCATTAATGGCTTTATTTCAATCAAACGAAATCAAGTAAATAGGGTTTGGAAATGATGGCATGTTGTACCTATTAGTGTAGGTGTCCAAGATCCAACCTTTTTTTGATGGGTTTGAATTATTATATTATTGTATTATTTATATTGATTATAATAAAAGAAATCTTTCTATTAATGCTTGTCATTTGCATTTATTCATTGTATAGAATTAGATAGAAATCCATACGATTTGCATTTATAGTAGTGATTGATCGAAAGATGTGAGATAAAACTAATGCACATAAATTATATCATTAAATGTCCCAAGTCATAGCATGATTAAGAATAGACATTGACCACATGCGTTTAGACTTACGAGAATTATGCTCATTCTATATGATAACAATAGGAGATCTCACACTTATTAACATGATGATGCCAAAGCAAACACTTAGGTGATTTATGTTAGAGAACATATCACCTGGACTTGACTCGCCATAAGAACCCATTTGGTATATAGTCTATGAGAATCTCATACAAAATGGATATAACTGGTCTTCATACTTGAGGTCATCACGATTATCTTATTGGAGGATTTATATACTTTGACACTCGTTTTGATAGACCTAGTAAAGGGTTACATGTGAGCGATTTATTGGGTACACTAAGAATCTAATACGGATAAGTGAATGACTAAGATAGGACATGTTATTTCTTTTACACTAAAGAAGTTATTACATTATACTTTGATGAATGTCTACTCGAGAAATCTGTGACCACGGTAGCAGTACACCAATAAAGAGTAGTTGGTTTACTCTAAGAGCTAAGACATTTGGAAATTGAAAAAAACTTGTGTGATCGTAATCGAACAAGACTAATAACCAACTTCGAGATCACATTATGATAAGTTGACATGAAGACTGAATTATATGGTAACCATACTCATAAAAGGTAATAATGAATTAATTAATCCTCCTAAAGAATTAGATAATCATGATGTTTTGCTAAAAGCCAATCTTGACTTATGTATCAAGAGATAAAATAGGTGTCTTTTGTTCTTGATACATTGCTAACATATTTAAGAGCCTATTGAGTCACATGCATAAGTTTAAGCATTCACATGATTAAAGAGAAACAAAGATATTGGAAAAATTTTTCAATTATGAAAATTTTCTATTTTGGAAAGGGTTTTCAAAAATGAAAAGTTTCTTAAAATGAAAAGTTTCCTAAAATGAAATTTTTCTAA